TTGCGGCAGTGACCAGCTGGAACCACAACAACTAGGAAAAGGTTAAACTTATGAAGGACGAAAAGCTCAAAAAAACTTTCGCGACCCCCTAATATAACATAAACAGTATTCGATCTGTCAGAATTTAGACAGTAGCTAATCGAACAACAAAGCTAAATCAGATGAAAACTGCAATTACGGCACGATATTGGTTCAAAATTTGTCGAGAAACTAACGAAGAAACAACAATGTATGCGACGATGCATTATCGTGGTGCAAAAACCCAGAATTGACGTCTCATAATGTCGGCCTCTGTTTTCGAATAGCTTCACGCAAACGACGAATATCATTCAAATAATATCGGAGTGCACGACATCTCGATAATCGAAGAAAACTGTCAACATAGCTTCGATTTTGACTCTGCCACAATATTCGGCTGATTGATCGTGGGTTTTCAGTTCATAAGCATAGACCCAATACTCATTGCCAATAATACGTTTCATGACATTCTGGCAGCGAGAAAGCATTGTTTCACAGGCGTTAACGTGACGCTGGTTTTTTGAGAAAATTTAACGATTTTGGAACCAATCGTGCTTTCAGGCCCAAACGATCTTTCAAAATGGTTTTCACTGATTCTTCCGATATTTCAACGATACCAGTAAGATCTCACTGCTAATCGTCGATTCTCAAGCAACAATTCCTTTATTTTATTGACGTGTTGATCATCAGTTAATGTTGTTGCCCGCCCTGGACGTGGTTGGTCTGATTCGTTGTTAACACGTTCTCGAAACTCTTTAAGTAATTTGTAACAATCAAAGACACGTGCTCGCTGCAAACAATTACCAACGATAATTTTTACACAGCGTAGTAGGTATACTTATGTCTCCAATTGCAACAGTAACAGCTGCCGATGGAAATGGATTTTCTTAGGCCCAAATTGCAAGTACTTACACATATGACTGATTCCCACCGTAGAGACAATTATTCAAATCTGTTGCTACATTTTAATGGATCTATTCCCTATTTAATGGCACGTGAATCATTTTGTAAGGCAGTCGTCAACAAGGCCTTGAAGCAGTGCCGATCACAGAGCACACAACGCTAAAATAAGCGCAAGACGAAAATTTTGGGAGACTGACACACTTAAGTTAAATTAGAGGTTAATTTTTTTTTTAATGTATATTTAAATATTTTAAAATATGCAAAAAAGTTCATATAAAGTTTGAAGAAAATGTCAAAATGAAAAAAATAACCACAACCTTGCCAGTCGGCTGTTGGAACGAATTCCTCCTGTGCTCGGATGACTGTAGAATTGACTTCAGAGTGAAATTATGGAGTCATGTTTCATCCATTGTCTTATATCGACGCAAAAACTTGGATTTATTACGTCTGAACACTCCTAAACACTGCTCCGAATCATAAATTCGTCGTCATAAGTCCCGCGGCACCCACTTTACACAGAACTTTCTTCTACCTAAATTTTCGTAAATGTTATGATGTACATATTCAGTTGATAACTTTAGAGTGCCTGCTATCTCGAACAACTTCACTTTACGGTCATCCAAAACTATTTTCTGGACTTTTTTAATGTTTCCGTCGATAACAACCACTATTCTAATTTAATATATTTTCCATTTAAGAGCTTGGAAAACAACATCATGACTAGCTACGAAAATCTACCGTTATACTTAATGAATGTCAAAGTTTTCGTGAAAATGGGACTCATAGACTCAAGTGGCTGGATCAAGCGCTTCTTGTACGGCTTAATATTAATAATATCATTTGTGGGGCAAATGATAAATTTTTGTAAGACATGGAGTGAGGATATTGGCGATACGAGTATGAATTTTTACTGTTTATTGCTTGTGACACATTGTTTAATTCGTTTCTTCATCGTGGTAAAGAAAGCCCACAAATTTGAGTGGTTCTTTCTATGCATCAAACAGTGGTACACTAATATCGAGGTAGGTGCTGGCGGACATACTTAAGCTAGAATGACATACTGATTTTAATTTCCGGCACTCAAAAAAAGCTTAAAGGCGATCCACAAATGGTCGGTACACTACAGGAAATCACTATAAAAACTCAAAAGCTGAGTAAAATAACCATCTATGTAGCTGCTTTAGCAACAATATCCGCATTCTTATATCCAGTATCATTTGATGAATGCAGTAAGACAATTCGATTTTAAATTTCTCATTACTTTCATTGTTTAAAATTCGCTTTTCAAATTATCTTTCACAATTTCTTTCTCAAAGAACACATGATTGAAGTGCAGTATCTATTCTTCGATACCCTCCAAACACCATTCTATGAACTCTTTTATCTCATGCAAGTTGTGTTGGTAACGCCAACCATTTTGGTTCTTTATCTCCCGTTTACAAATATTTTACTCATATCGCTCATGTTCGGCGAGCTGGTCTTAAAGGATTTGTGTGTGAAGTTGAGAAATATTGGCAGTGAAAATGAAGAAACCATGCTACAGGACTTCAAGGAATGTCTTGGTTATCACGGAAAGGTTGTCGAGTAAGCGAATTCACAAACTTTATACCTTTTTACTTAAGTATTTCAATTCATTTTTCTTTTTTTAAAGCTTATGTGATGATCTCGAAGATTTAATTTCAGTGGATGGATTCTTTCATGTTGCGCTCTTTGGTATGATCCTCTGCATGCTGCTCTTTGTCCTCTCAGTGGTAGGTGTTTATAAAGTCTCAACTTCTAGTCCATGTTATCAAAAATATTTATTTAAATTGTCTGTCTCTCTCAATTTGCTTTGGCTGTTAGATTTATGTGATAGTGTTAAGTACTCGATAAACAGCTGATATTAATTTTTAATTTCTTTTTGTTTGCAACCAGGTACATAATCTCCGACTCATTCTAATGGTTTTCGTATTTGTCAGCTTCAATATTTATATGATTGGCATTACCTATTATTATGCGAACAATCTGGCAACTGAGGTAAGTTTGATATCTAAATAATTGCAACTTGGCTAGAACCATTTGAATTTTTGTGCTTAATTCTAGAGCCTTGAAGTGGCCAACGCCATCTATAATACACCTTGGTATAGAGGAAATCTGGAAATGCGTAAATGTGTCATTACTATGATCGCAAAATGTCAGAAGCCTCTTCAAGTACTCAATATTAATGAATGTTTTATTATTTACTTATACAAAAAGATTTACTCTTTTCCAGATGAAGGCCGGTGGACTATATCCGATGAATATGGAGACTTTCCAAGCCATTTTACGTGTTTCATATTCATATTTTTCTCTACTACAAGGTCTCAATCAATAGTAACGCATAGGAATTTTTTATTGCACTGTAGAACAAGAATTAAACTCTGCTCAAATAAACTTAATTTATAAAATATCAACTTGTAATCATGATTGGTCTGCTCAATAGTTCTTATGAAGCCAGAATAGTTTTGGCTTTACGAGAAGGTAGCTAACGTCATAGCAAAATGAAACAATCTGATTATAGTCCAATTTTTGTCATATTAGAAATGTCTATTGCCGAGAGCAAAGCCTTGTTAGCGGTTAGCATTTTGATGAGTTTCAAATCGGCAATACATATATCGGTCGCTAGGCATGTCTGCTTTCTCTTTCAAACTTGCGCTCAAGTTATCGCTTGGCTGGACAGACGCACAACACAATATCCTGATTTCAACTCCTCTCGTCATCCCGATCATTTTAATCGTCCTCAAATTTACTGGAGCGGACACCGTTTGATTGCAACTAAACTAGTTGACTACAGACGAATAGACGGACATACAGACGCGGCTAAATCGACTCAGCTCGTCTCACCTCCGACGTTTACTTCTAGATTTTGCAAATTACGTGGTAAACTTACTGGGTATATTCATTATGCGTACTTGTATAAATAATTATGAAAGTATCAAATATTCCACAACTACAATATATAATTAATCCGGTTGAATTAACTGAATGTATCGCTGGACGATAATTTCGCTGTCACACAACCAGTATTTAACAGTTAGCAAAGCATCAGCAGCCTTTTGAAACAAGTATCAATTAGTGGAATATTTATGGTAACAGCTGCAGATGAAAACTAAATTTCTTATGCCAGAGACGCGTATACACAGATGACCGGTTCCCACTGCAGAGAAGAATCCACAAAGCCATGCTTATTTCCACGCATCTGCCCTCTATTTAAAGGCGCACTAATCATTTTATGAGACAGTTGAGAACTAAGGTGTACAGTGCGAACCACAGAAGCCATAACGCTGAAAGTAGTTAACCCCCTGTTTAGGTAAGTCAAAGATTAATGAAAAGCTTTTGCAAACAATGAGATAACGTGATCAACGTTCTGCAAACGTGTTCCATGACACTAGAGGTAGCGCAGAGGAATCAAATCATCACTACGGTCAAAAAGCCTATATAATGCCACCATTAAGCGAAAATCTATAACGTGCCAAGATTTGATAATTTTTGTGAAATGGATGTGGTCTCCAAAATAAATATATGCATATATCACACACCTCCAAAGTTGTATTAACCGAACTTGCTGAGGACAAATCATTTGGGTATCTCTCCAGTGAATGAAATCGGATAATAACCAGCTCACTTCACGTAGAAAGGATCATATCTTATAAAGCCAACTAGACGCTTTGCTGACATATCGATAATGCAGCAAAATAAAACAATGATTTTTCTGCTAATAGCACTGTGGAACATTTTTGGGATTATTGTCTGGGGGGTGGGAAATTCCAAGTCAGGGTGATGGTACTAGGTCAGTACCATCCTCAAAGGGTTTGGCGTTCCTAAGTGTCAGTCTTTTTTTTATGACCTTTTAAATTTCTTCCTATCATGATCTTTTTTCGCTTAGTTGTAACATTTTGGCAAAACAAACAAAAAAAAATTTTTTTTTTGAAAATATTATGCTAATATTATGTCTTCAAGACACAAATTGTCTATAGCTAACTACATACTGAAACTGTGTTGAATCGACTCACAAAGTTTTTTACCATTCTATCTTCAAGAGAATGGAAATCAACAGCACCATGACTAACTACGAAAATCTACCGTTATATGGAGTAAATGTGAAAATTTTCGTTAAATTAGGACTCATCGACTCAATCGGCTGGACGAAGCGATTCCTAGTTTGCTTAATACCTATAATAACATATGTCGGGCAAATCATACATATATTTAAGTCGTGGGATGATGATATTGGCGAGATGAGTATGAATCTTCACATATTATTGTTTACAACGCATTCTATAGTTCGTTTATGGCTCATGGTGACGAAACCCAAAGACTTTGAGCGATTCTTTCTGTGTGTCGAGCAGTGGTATACAAATATCAAGGTAAGTGTTGGAAAATATAAGTGAGTGCGATGTACTAATTTTAGTATCCGATAAACGCAAAAAGCGAAATGACGATCCACAAATGGTCGGCACACTACAGAAAATCATCAAACGAACTCAGCTGGTGATCAAAATAGCCATCTGTGTAGCCGCTGGAGGAACAATAGCCGCATTCTTCTATCCATTATCATTTGATGGTCACAGTAAGCTACATGGCAGAAAATAATATTTTCTATTTCTCATTACTTTCATTTAATATGTTTTATATCCGCTCTCCCAATTGTCTTTCCAACTCAAAGAACATATGGTAAGCGTGCAATATCCATTCTTCGATGCCCTCCAAACACCCTTCTACGAATTCTTGTTTCTCATACAAGTGCTGTGCTTAGCGCCGATAAATGTAATTCTTACTTTACCGCTTACGAATATTTACCTTATATCCCTCATGTTCGGTGAATTGGTCTTAAAGGATTTGTGTGTGAAGCTAAGAAATATACGCAGTGAGAATGAAGAAATCATGCTACAGGAGTTCAAGCAGTGCATTGCGTATCACCGAAAAATTATTGAGTAAGATTATCCACAAGTTTTATCTTTTCGTACTTCTATCATTCCCCTTTTACATATATGTATAGTTGGTGTGATGATCTTCAAGATTTGCTTTCAATGGATGGATTTTTCCACGTTGCGCTCTTTGGTATGATGCTCTGTATGCTGCTCTTCTTCCTTTCAATGGTATGTACTTATTATTGATTTTAGAATCAGTTGCATGTTACCTAAAAATTCTCTAAACTCCTTGCCGAAATCGCATGGAAACGAGATAGTCGGTCTCTATCTTCATCTATCTAAGTTCTTCTCATTTTTCCGTTCTCCCGTTTTTAATTAGATACATGATCTCCGACTTATTGTAACGATACTGACGTTTGTCAGTTATACTACTTATATGCTATTCAGTACCTATTATTATGCGAACAAGTTGGCAACTGCGGTAAGTTTGATTTCCAGTAACAAACTGTTTTCATATTTTCGAATGCTAGAAATATATCAAATTTTTTGGTTAATCCTAGAGCCTTGAAGTGGCCAACGCAGCCTACGACACACCTTGGTATAGGGGAAATTTGGAAATGCGTAAATGTGTCATTACTATGATCGCAAGATGTCAGAAACCTCTACAAGTACTTCAAATTGTTAAATTATTTACTACTTACGCAGATGAAAAGATTTACATTTGTCTTCCAGATGAATGCCGGTGGACTATATCCGATGACTATGGAGACTTTCCAAGCCGTTTTACGTGTTTCATACTCATATTTTTCCCTACTACAAGGACTCAGTCAACAGTAACTCACTGATATCCTTTTCTTGGTGCACTGTAGAACCAAAGTTAAGCACTTTTCAAATATAATTAATTTATAACATAGAAAAATATGTTGGATCTATTACTTATTGGTCAGGTTTCGCTTTTAATTTTTGCGTTAACAGTTATCGTAATGGAGACATTTTCCATCAACAGTCACAATACGGTGCAATAACGATCTCTTCTTACAACCTTAAGGTTGTAAGCTACCTTTTAAAGTTCTCTGTTTTTAATGTTTCCGTGGCTGCTTCGAAACGTTTTGAAATCCAGGATATTCTTTGTTTGTTTTAGGTGCTAAAAGCGACCGTTAAGTGAACCGAGCTAACATATTTCAAAAATATTAATGGTTGAATACTTTCTTCTTCTTTATTGGCTTAGGTAGAATGACGTCATGTGTTGAATACTTTCACTAAACGCATAATGTACTAAACTACTCTAAGAGTGCTTTCTTAAAGCAAAACATCGTTCGTTCCTAAATAATTATTTTTCCTCTATTGGGTTTTTTACACGACTATACACGTCTATATTTAAATTGTCAATTAAGAATGCATTCTAGACTCATTCTTTAGGCACTTCTTACAAACGTTATTCTGCACACAAATATTACACACTTGACAAAATGCAATAACAAATGAGCAGATATTGTTGTTCGCATTAATTATAACTTATATATATATATAAACTTTTACGAATGCATATCCGCGTCTGTGAGAATGTCTCCTTAACGCACATTGTACAATTATTCGCATATTGATTTCCAAAGTAGTTGTACACATGTACGGTTATGTGTATGTGTTTGCCTTCTTTTCCAAGAAGATTATATTCAACTTAATGGCACATTAATCATTTTGTCATAAAGTTGTCAACGAAGTTCTGAACAGCGCTGGCCACAGCCCTTACGAAATTACGAAACTTAAAAAGTTATTGTTGGATGTAGGCAACTCGTGTGAAGCGATTGCAATTTTTTTTTTAGATCTTTCTATTGATCCTACATATAACAGTTCATATCAACAAGAGAACTAAAGTCAGAAGTGGTTCTATTTAATTAATTTTTGACAGCAAATGAGCTCAAACTAAGCCTAATATTCTCACTTAATTTCCTTTAGTTAACTTTCATAGTAACCGATATATTAGGTAGTCTCGTCTTGCAGTCGTATATCGCCAGTGCTACCAATCGCATTATATCATACCATATAGTGTTGGAAAGACGAGATTTCAACCTTAATTTTACCAAGAAAATGTGTATTTCGGGAAAGCTGAAAAAAAGTTACAGCTGTTCATAAATTACTGAAAATGGGGAAATTCGTTATATTTTGAAATTTTTTACAAAAAAAGGTAGAATATCAGGCAAACCACCAATGAAATGTGTGAAGTTTACCTAGACGATGATGTATCAGTTCGTGTAGCACAACTTCACTTTAAGCACTTGCTTTCGCTCTGGATATTTTGAAATTTCGATTTACCCTGGTGAAAGTTGTACACTAATGGAATAATGTCTCTAGCGAAAAAATGACAAAAAGTGGTCGACCAAAGTGGTACATATTTGTTTATTTATTTATTAGTATACAAAAATATATTGAAGCTTGATCAGAAATACGAAAGGACTTTTTCGACTACACAATATATGTTTAAGTTAAATCGTAAGACAGATTGAAATGGAAACAGCACTTTTTAGTCTATAGATTTTCATCTTTTTTAATGTACCATAAATTACTGAAGACTAATAGTAATTAATGTATCGTTATTAATATATGTTTCATCGGAAACTACTGACACTGTGCGCAAATCGATATTGAAAGATCGTCATGTGACCTATAGTGAGATTGAGAGAAATATACGCCTTAGTGGGATCAGCACACATTCAATACACATTGCATTCACAGTCAACTGATGACCTTTCTTTACAAGACAACTACTTTCTCTTCTTCTTTAATTAGTTAAGCTGTTCATGTCTCGTAAATACAATATTTTTTTCTGCACGGGCGCGCCGTGCTCTTGTAGCCGCAGATCACATACAATTATGCACATTAATGACTTCCTTGTTCAAGAACAACAATTGTGGGCGATCCATATTAATTATAACCGATACATATGTACATATCTGCGCTTCCTTTGACTTAAAATTCCGCCGCCAAAAGGAGAATGTACTCTTAGCACACAACGTCGAGTCAATTATATACTTATTTTGTGGCGATTTATGTATTTACCGTTAATGAGTCCGCACATGCCTGTTTTCCCAGCAACATATTCGCAATACCACGAATCCTTCAGACGCATCGATATGCATATATGTATGTATTATAATACTATCTTTCTTTGATATTTTTTTGATATTTTCATATTCATTCATTATGCTCTAGTTAATGGCACTTGAAGCAATTTGTCAGAGCGCTCGAAGCTGGGCAAGCAATCAATTGCAGAAATAATTCTTAATCCCAGGAACCTGACTGAATTTACGAATATTATCGTTTTATGATACTATTAAAGTTAGCTTAAAAGATCTGCACAGCGTTGCAGGATGCAATTTGTCAAGACTTCGAACGTGTGGAACCACGGAGGGAAAGATACTTTCCCCAATTGTTTGAATATTGGTGGTTAAAGACTTACTTAAAATACTCAAGGAAAGAGGCTGTCTGATGATAGTCTACGCTGAAATACTATTCTAAATAGCATACAGTCTGCGAGCTGACCAAAATGTATCTCAACGTGCCGTCCAACTGTGCAAATAGAAGTGGCTTAGTCGTCAATCCAAAAATAGAGGAGAAAAGGTGGGCACTCTGACCAAAGGTTGTCGTTTGGTTCTACTGAACTGTAGTCAAGCCAATAATGTTCTTTGGCAAATTCGTCGGTAGAGGGCACTCAAAAAGGCTACTTGCTAAAAAGCTTGAGTGTGTCCCAAAACGGCTCTCATCTGCATCACCGTTGCACTGCGGACTACACCAACGATAGCACTTAATGCCTAAAGGCAGTATCCGTGGATATTGCCAGGAAGTGTGTGTCTACGAAATGTGCTCTAAGCCTTAAGAAAGCTGAGTATATGAAAGGATCCGAACACGAACAAGTCGAAAATCTCTGCTTCTTCCACTGCATCCCTGAAAACTTGAATCACTGTGCCACAGATTGCATTCATGAAGGCGGTTTCTCTGCTCAAACACCAATGAGAGATGTGTAGATGAGAAGAACGCGCTGAAGAAGAGGCGAAGTGAGCTTTTTCACGGACAGGTCGAAGTTAAGAGTGAAGTTTGACGAGAGAGTTTTCTGTAAAGAGCTCTTCGACATTTTTAGCTTTAGATTACCGGATCTCTCTAGTATTTTTCAGACATGATTGGCTGCTATCAAGAAGGCGGCAGAAGTACTGCTACGAAGTGCAGTTTCTTTTAGGAACATTCACACCCACATCAAAGCTGAATATGCGCTCAAAAGCAGTCTGAGCGTGTGTGGTCAAGGAGTCTCTGTCCTAACTAGAAATAGCATCAAGCTACTTTATCATCAGACTCATTTGGGTGCTTGGTAATAGCAGAATCGCTGGCAACAAGCTGACGATGAGATGGCTTCGCTCACATCGGAATGGGATCGAGCTAGATTTCCAATAACGTCTCGTGGTCTAGCACTGAACTAAAGAACCTCGCGTGTGCTTAGCAGCGGGAGATCTACTGAACTAGAAGTTCTTACTGGGAACTGTCTAAAAGGCATTTATGCGGTAAGGCTAAAAATCTTGTTGGATGCAAATTTCAAAGTTGTATGGAGTAGTTAGAACGAGAGTGGTGAATCGAACAAACAAGTAATTGAATTAAATTTGCTTAAATTGGAAATAAAAAGTTTCTACAGATATCGTTTCCTTCCATTCTAAGGTAAAGAAACAGCAGACCAAACGGAATACAATACAGACATATCAGAAAAAGAATGTACCAAAAAATCTTTGATCGATATCAAGGGCTATATATAAAATATATTGCTAATATGAAACTAACACATAGACCTAATTGAAATATTACTTGCTAAAAATATGAATTTTCCAGGCATTTTTCTACACTTAAACTAATTGTTGCAATTTACAGTTAAACGCAACAATTTAACGCAATTATCAGAGCTAACAAAAGGTGTGACCTTTGAGCACCTCATAAATCCTCACCACCCTTTGTAACTCATTAAAAAGACAAGTCCGTAACGGTGCTTCATTCAGTATTTTTCATTTAATAACGGACTTGTAAAGCCACGCAATAAAATGCAGAACTATAAAAATGTACCGTTATATTCAGTAAATGTGAAAATCTTCCTGCAACTAGGGCTCATCGGTCGATCCACCAGAGCAAAGCAAATACTCTTGGCTTTCGTGCCGGCGGCCACATATTTGGCACAAATCATATATTTATATAAGTCTTGGGGTGGCGAGATCGGTGAGACGGACATGAATTTTTATATGCTAACGCACATAACACACTGCTTGGTTAGATTAATCATGGTGGTGCGCAACAACAAGCGGTTCGTGCGTTTCTTACAAAGCATCGATCGTTGGTATCAAAATATTGAGGTGCGCGACAATAAATTTTGGACGAACTAAAAGTAATTTTTTATATTTTTTACATTTATTATACTCTTTAAAACAGCTAAACAGCGATACGGAAGTGGTCCACATGCTGCAGGACGTCACCACACACACTCAGGAATCACGCATCGGCTTCTACACCATCACCATTGATGCGCTATGCTCTTATATATATCCCTTTTCTTTCGAAGAACGCAGTAAGCCACAGACAAGTAAAGTATCTACCGTTATTTATATTTTTTATTGTTTCTTCTCTTTTTAATTCGAAGAATTTATACTGGATATATATTATATTTTCTTTGGCGCCAAACTAACGACATTCTACGAATTCTTCTTTCTGCTACAAGCGCTGCTGTTGGTGCCGACACTCGTTTTCGTCTATATGCCATTCACGAATATTTTGCTTACATCGCTCAAGTTCGGCGAGGTGATTTTGATGGA